AGTAACTCAACATATATGACACCTCTGTCCTTGGACCCTCGCAGTAACAAGGACAAACCCCCAAAGAAACCCCACGATTAATCACTGAAGAGTTTTAGAAATTAGACAGAGTGTATGTGTTATACATATAGTGTTTTAAACTATACTTTTTAATATTATTTTTCTTGTCTACCTTGGATGTGTACTTATTTGATTTGTGTTTTATAAACGTGCGCTTGCCTCTTTATCCATTATGTAATTCTACTGTTTTCTTTTCTTCTTAATCTGCACTGTCCCCTTTGCTGAAAGGTACGCTGTAAAGGATTTCTGATTGTGATGACTTTGTGTGTTTGTGAGAGCTGTCTCACCTGCTTTTGGGATGGCTTGGAAGTAAGCTTTGAAGATGGCTCCGTCCCTCTGCCTGCTGAAGGAGAAGGTGACCAACATCACGTTCCCAGAGGACGTCAGCTTCATGACGGGAGACGAACGGGAAATAGGAAGCCCACACCACCTGAGACACGTACATGCACCCAGGACGTGTATACATGTTACAATACCATCATACTTGTGATGTTTCTTGCATCACAGCAGCTCCATTTGCAACATCAACGAGGACAATATTAAGATAATATACAAGGAAACAGACATTTCATATAACATTACAACCACTGAAGACTATGCCTTTAACATACATTTGATCTGGGATATAATTCTGTATTTAATTTGACGACTGACTGCTGCACTAACGAGGGTTTCACCGTTGGACACCGTGTTTCTCTTTTCACTGTTCAGGACATGTTTGCAGAGGAAACCGTGTTTACCTTGAGATTATCTTGTTCTGTAATGGCAGTAGGAAGTCGTAGGCGGAGAGCTTGTGGGCGGTGCAGCTCCCCGGCGTGGCACCGTGCAGCGTGAGGACGACCAGGCGGACCACGTGACCCGACGGCACGCGGAGACGCCACTGGTAGTACGGCTTCTTGGGATTCACCAGGCTCAGGGTGCGGTTGTTGCCGTATTTGGCGTAGAGGTCAAAGGACATCGCTAGAGGGAGAGAGAGATGGCCTTGAAAGTATTTTCTCACATTTTTGACTTAAAGAAATAGGGGCCACATTTCACAACTAGTAGTACATCTTTGAACTGGGAAGCTTTATGAATACCCAGGTCTGTATGTGTTGTAATATGAACATCAAGTCAGATTCCCTCCTCACCTTGGAAGCCAAGCTGCCACTTCCCGCTCTGGATGCTGTTTGGATTCTTACTCTTGTCAGATTTTTCATCTACTTCAAAGTCGTCAGGGTCCAAACCTACACACACACACACACACACACACACACACACACACAGCAGATGTCAAAACACTTCTCAAATCCAGTACCAATCTAGAGCAACACAGAGTATAAAACCATAATTGATGATACACGGGTACAATTTTACAGTTTTGAACCCGTTTATTGTAGTTATTGATACGATGAAGCAAAGAAAAATACCTGTGCAATATATATACTTCCACTTTTACTACTGTGACCCGGCTGCCATCACACTACTTTATACACACAACTTTTACACTTTTTATATTTGACGCATGCCTCTTGATTAATATTTTGCTCTACACTTTTGTTGTAACAATGTAAATGTTCCCTCTTTGGGACGAATAAAGTTATCCTGCTAATATCTACATATGTCCGACCCTCCAGTCAGTCCACAGTGTGGAGAACATGCTGCACTGTGAGAGTGTGTACCCAGCAGGTGGAGCATGTCGTCGTCCTGCTCCATGTAGTAGCGCTGCTCGTTGCGGCTGTCCTGCAGCACCTTGTTTCTGCCCGGGAGCCGTCGCTGAAACCTCTCTGGACCCGACCTCCGGATCGCCACGGCAACATCGTCCGGGGCGGAGAACTTACTCCAGTAGAAGACATTCAGTCCTTCAGCTCCTTCACTGTCACACAAAGGGTTTACAATGAAATACAGCAGAGGTATGTAGAAGTCATGCATGTTCCTCTTATGTATGAACTCAGTATGCTTTCTGTGGGTGCATCTTACCTGAAGGCAGTAATTCCTGAGTTCACGTAGTAAGAGCTACACGGCGAGGACTCGTAGAGTTCTGAAAACTGTGTTTATTTCAAATAAAAAGACAAAGAAGAAGGGTGTAACACATACTCTTTTATCTTGCATTATTGTCTTATGATTGAGACTTTTAAGATGAATGTTAACAAGAAAATGAATACACAAAGTGAGCTAAAAGGTACCTAAACATAGCATACAACCAATGACATCAAGGTTTACAATGTAGGTTCTTTAATATGAACAAATAGTTTTCTCAGATCTAGTTCGCAACACAGAATTGAAAGCTGCTTTGTGCTAGTTTATTTACTGTACAGTCCAGAGCTGTAGGTGTGACATCAGAGCTGAGCAGGTGAGGTCACTTTTCCCGTGTAAGCAACACATGAACACACCTGGTCGGACATGCAGCCCGCCTTCAACAAACACATTGTTCTTGTGTGTGTATCGAACTCTGCATGTGTGCATGTTGACTCTGAGCCGCACAGAGCTTCATTGTATGTGCAGTGTAGAGTTAGGACCCAGGGTGGTATGGGCTGCTGGCTTCCAGTTCACCTGGTCTTTAATGAACAGATGGCCGCACAGATCCTGTGTCCACTTCACAAGCCGGGCTAAGTGACCCTCACAGCCGATTAAAGCAGCCTTGCAGTGTGTCAGAGTAGGTTTGTGGGTAAACCTATCAGTTTGCAGTGCTGTAAAGTAACCAAGTACATTTATATGTAATACTGTATTTAAGTTTACATGAGTATCTCCATTTTCTGCTACTTTGTATTTCTACTCAACTACAATTCAGATGTAACAGAGTATTTCCTACTCTCTCTACTTTTACAAGATCTGAATACTTCTCCCACCTCTGTCACATCGTCGTTTCTCCACTGCTCAGGCATCTGACCTTTTGCCTCAAAATCTCCCCTCTGTCATCCACCCACCCCCCCCCTGCCCTACTGCCCTATCTCTCCCTCTCACCCCCATCAACAAACGGAGGTTCACCTCCTCTCTGTAGTGTGCGACACAGAGCGGCTGATTGTGTGAAAACCACACAGACAATGTTTTTATTGAAGGCCTGCTCTTCCTCTCACTCTGCTGCCTGGGCCTAGCCTGGCTCACAAACGCCGGGCTTGTCCTCGGCCCCTGAAAGGCTCGGGTCCCTGGGGGTCCGGGGGAACTCGCACACTGACTGTGCCCAGCTCCTGTTTCAGCTTTACATTTAACACCACCAGAGAGAGGGGCAGAGGAGAGGAAAGTGGTGACAAAACACTGAAGGTAGGAAGGAGGACAAAGCTAAAGAAATAGGAACGTAAAGACAGAAACGAGGGAAGGAGAAAGAGGGCAGCTGTGAATAATTTAGGAGAGTACAAAGTCAAAGTCAGAGCAGCGAGATCAGCCCCCCGAGTGTGAAGGTCAAGCAGCAACTTAAGTGACATTCAGAGACGGACAGGTCCATCGCTCCACTTACATAGTGGTTCAAAGCCTGAGCCTGCAGGCGGAACTGAGGGGAGGAGGAGTCCGTCAGCTCCGAGGTGAAGCTCAGGTTTGGGAACTCCACGCTGCCCCCGAGGAAGAACACTGAGGAAGGTGGAGCTGCAGAGATATGAATAAGATGGAGTCAACAATAAAAAAATCACAAGAAAAGTCCACAAGGTGTGTACTCACATGCTAGGAAGTGGAGAGTCAGTGCAATGGCAGCAGCGAGGGGAAATAAAGGCAAGACGCCGAACATCCATCTCCTCCAGGAGGCTGGAGCTTGCCCCCCCTCCACCTTCTCCTCCGCCCGATCCTCAGGCTTCGTGGGGGGGCTCAGTGGCTGGGTGGGCTCCTTCAACTCCCCCTCTCCCTTCCAGAAATAAAGACTCAAATATCATACCAGCTTCCTTATGTGTGTGCTCAAGTTCCTTCTGAAGTGGTGACAGCAATATCTTAAGGCAGTGTTTGACCTGAATGAGACACAGGTTTAATGGCTGGAGTGCTGCACTGAGAGGAACGGTGAGCATCTTGGAGCTGAAAGGAACTCCTAAAACATTTAAGGGGTTGGCAGGATTCCCCGGGGGGGCAGACAAAGCGTGGCTAGACGAGTCTGCTTTCCCACGGCCTGGCTCTGCGGTGTCAGCACTCAATCAAGTGGCTCACCCCGGACATTCATGAGGAAAAACACCCACAGAGACAGATTTAGCAATTAAGATGACCCATGGCTGACTGGGGTTTGGATTATTGTAAGGTATACAAGTTCAATAAACACTCATTTGGAAACATATAGAATAAATATTAAGGGTATAGTTCTGGCATAAAGCAAAGCCACAATGATCTGTTACGCACAATGAAAAGAGCGGTTACCTGTGCAGCGGAGCGGCCTGAGAGTCCATGCCCGGAGACGCAGTACACTTCGCAAGTTTTGCTTTTGGGGAGAGTCCTCATAGCACTGTCCCGTTTGGCTCCGCAGAGGCGATATGCAACAATACCTCAGGCATAGAAATGATGGAGAGAGAGAAAGAGAGAGGAAACCCCGGCTGTCGCTTCCCTTTTGAAAAAAAAAAAAGCGCAGAAATCCGACCTGAGCGGCTCGGATGCAGTGGGCTTTCACCGCCTCCCGTTCACCTGAAGTGGGAGGCAGGTGTCACACGGAGCCCCCAGAATGCAGTGCGGGGCACAATGAGAGCACTATGAAAAGGGTACAATCTCCACAACCATCCGGGCGACAGATATTGTGGGCAAACTTCCTCGCTGCGTATGGGAGGAAAGCTGGGAGGGACAAAGGGGAGCTTGAGGGAAACGTGCCCAAGGTATTACTGCTGGAGCTTGGCTGCTTGGACGCTCCACAGGGGGCTCCAAGCAAGACACACAATTACAAATGCTGGCACCGAATTGTGGAGACATAACATGGAGACTAGAGGGAGGAATGCAGCAAAGACACCTGAAGAGAATTCACATATTTGTTTACCTTTGAGTGCTCTTAATAAAGCTTAATAAAATACAATCGACATAAATGCTTTTAGTGACGCTTTTATTTTTTGGTGTGAAAGACAGAATGTTTACGTTTTCTGCCGGCACTGGATGAATAATCCTTTCATCATGTCAGCTGATATGGCTGGAGATCCAGGAGGTGAACTTGTTGACCCTGGTGTAGACCCCCGGTAGGCCCGGTCTCCCACAGCCCGCACCCCAGCTGACGATGCCAATGAGGAACCAGCGACCGCCGCCCGGCGCCTGGCAGGACAGAGGACCCCCTGAATCCCCCTAAAACACAAGGAATGTAGTCGATGAAAAATCCTTCACACCCACTATTATATATTAAATCGCAGGTGAGTATGGGGGTCTAAGACAGATGGGAGCTCACCCTGCAGGCGTCCCTCTCTCCGGAGGGGACCCCGGCACACAGCATGCGGGGGGACACGGGTCCATAGCTCTTCTTACAGTCAGTCTGGCTCAGGAGGGACACCTCGGCTTTCTGCAGCACTGAGGGCAGCACTCTGTCTGCAGGGGGGAACATGTGGACACAGATAAACACACATTTTTGGGGCTTAAAGAGAAGTTACTTTATACATTTTCATTTATTAGAGAGGCAGACACTGTCCAAACTTTTAAGAGAGTGCTGAAGACTATCCTTGTGATATAGGGGCTAAATAAATAACCTTTGATTTGATTTGATTAAAGTCAGTAATCTGTATCCAAAGAGATGCTTACACTCCTCAGAGCGGTACCCCCCAGCCGGTGACGAGGCAGCGGTGGCTGTCGGTGACGGTGTGTGAGGGGGGGGGCAGGCACACCGGCTGCACCAGCGGGCTGAGGGAGGCCGGCCACGGCTTCTTGAGCTGCAGCAGGGCGATGTCGTAGTCGAACGTGTACGCGTTGTAGTACTCGTGCACCACGATCCGCTGGATCTCCGCCGTGTGTTTGGCACCGCCCTGAGTCAGCATGCCGAGGTGGGCGCTCCAGAACCGCGGGTCAGACAGCCTGGGGTCAGAGGTCGGAGGTCAATTAAGATTATACTATGTCTAATTTAACAGGTACACAGCTGTTCTATACTGCAAAGAAAAATGAAAAATGTGGGCAATACAAACACTTTTTATTAAACTTTTTCCTTTGCAGGCAATTTATTATTATTTTGAGACACATTGAAACATTTGTAAAACACAGTGGTTTCAAATCTAAAGGCAAGTACCTGAAAGTGTTCACAAATATAAAATCTGTGGTTGTGACCATGTAACACAAACAGGAAGTAGTTTATCAGCGGTGAGACTCACTGACCTCTCCTTGCTGAAGCAGTGTGCAGCTGAGATGAGCCAATCAGAGGAAAGGACAGACGCCCCGCAGTGCAGGTTCCCAGAGAAGTGGAGGCTGACCTGCCACGGCCACTCTCCCTCAGCAGAGTTCTCCCCCCCCACGATACGACCTGTGGAGGAGTCCACCTTCTTCACCAGGGAGGGACGACCACAGGCTGAGGAGACATGCACATATCACCAAAGTGTAAACTCAAGACGTTAAAGCCTCTAACAATAGAATAAGACTCCAATCTATTAAGGATTGATATGAGCGCTGTGTCACTCTATCAGTGTGAGCTGCAATAGGAGTGTGTGTTTTCCAAGTGGACTTGCTGAGTCGTCACCCTGACAGGCCGGCCGGCTGCAGCCTTATTAAAAAGTAACGTTTTTTCAAATGTGTAGTATCAGTGGGTGATCAAAGACATCTCTGTTCCCATCACCTGGAGACCCCATCATGATCAAATACCCGCTAATAGAGGGAGTCATTACAGCGGGGTCGCCTCGCTGCTGCAGGTCAGCAGGTTTGGAGCGCGCTGCCCAGTGAGTTATAAAATAACAACTTTCCCATGAAGGACATGGCAGAGGACTGGCAGTATAATCACTAAGCATCAATTCCTTCATCAAGAGCCAACCATTCAGGTAGGACAATATGTTGATGTGGCTTTATTAAACATTAACAGTTCCTTTTGGTGAATAACAGCTTTGTGATGATGGAAAAGATGGAGGAAAAGAATCTTGTTATAACATGGCACTAGGATGTACTTCACAATCAGCAGACCCTTTTAAACTTTGCAATTCAGCATTCATATCTTATTTTTACCAATACACCAAGTTTGCATGCTTCTTTTATTGTACATAAATAAATCTTATGGTGTATACAATTTGTTATCGTTTTTGGATTGTTATTATTATTAAATGGAGCAACCAATTTACCCCAGGATGAATACAGTATTTTCATCTGATCGAACCAAGATTTCCACCTGCATTATTCTACTACTCGACCACTCACCGCAGTCCGCCTCGTCGCTGCGGTCCTGACAGTCGTGAACACCGTCACACCTCGCGTTCTTCTTCAGGATGCAGGAGCCACTGCTGCACTGATACCTGATCGCAGAGCAGGTCGTTTCTGACAAAAGCAGAGAACATATTGCAATGTCAGTGATCAAATGATGTGAAGGGAACACATAATAATTGCAAAGATCCATACCCTGAGTGCAGTTTATCTCATCTATTCCATTGGTGCAGTCTATCTCTCCATTGCATACGAACAGAGGATGCAGAGGACTGCTGCCCCCACAGTTCTTCGTGGGCTTTGCTGTGAAGATATGCAACATTTGATATGATTGGTATAATTAAATTGTGTTATTTTAAGGAGCCAGTACAGTAACCTGGTGAACTTACAGCAGAAGACCTCGTCACTCTCATCCTGGCAGTCGTCCAGGCCGTCACAGCGTCGACTCTTCTCCACACACAGTCCCGTGGAGCACAGGAAGTGGCTCTCTGGACAGGCTGGTGCACACAAGTGGGGAAAGATACATTAACATCCACACTAAAGTACATCTTCCATTTCCTACAGCGCCTCCAGGCTTGCTTTAATGACTCATGTTTTGGGTCCCGGCTTTGCTTACGTTGGCTGATATTGAAGCTGCTGTGCGACGCCTGAAAAGGCTGAGCAGAGTTACGCGAGCTGCAGCGAAACTCCACCTCTGGGCTGTGGTCAGCGATCCGAAACACCGTGCTGTGTCCCACGTAGCTGCCGCAGAAACTGTGGAGGGACAGCAACTCTCATGTTTGTGGATATTTGTAAAAAAGGATAAAATACTGTGAAATACATTTGTGTACTTTTTGTTTTGAGTTGTATCCACTCACATGATTTCATTGACCTTCCACCAGCCTTGTGCACAGCCCTTCAAGCCCTTTGGGGTCAATACATAGTTCTGAAACTGCAGTGCAACTCCGAAAGCACTGTTAGGGGTCTAGAATCAAATGCAAACACATTTCATAATCAATTAAAGCAATTTTTTTGGCAGCATTACAAAAATAAGTCATTCAGGCTCTACCTGAAACGTCCAGGAGCAGAAGCACTGGGGGGGCAGGAGGCTCGGGTGGAAGGGGCTGTAGATTTGATCGCTGATGTGAGGCTTTAAGTGGGTCTCAATTTGAGACATACACACTGGAAGAGACAGAGATACAGGTTACACTTTCAGCACTGGAGCATCCTAAAGAGGCCTCAAGATCAAGAGAGGCCTCTTTAAAATGTTCAAATGCAATCAAAACATGAAACAATAAGATTAAGAACCACTGGCATGTAAAAGATACAAGGAAAATGTGTCGTACTTTCTTCAGCGATGGCCTCAAAGTGTCCTCTGAAGCTCTTGTTGCCATTGGTCATCCTGAAGGACAGCAGCATGACATTGGAGGTAGACACCAGGGAGAAGGAGCTGGACACCGGCTCACACAGCCTGCAGCACACACACACACACACACTTTACAGCATGCAACAAAACACAGTGACATATGGGGATAATCCGTCACATTCACTCAAGAACTGTCTAAGTACACATCTGAGTATTTTTATTTAATGCTACGTTATATTTCTACTCTACTACTTACTTTATCAAATCTGATTTTGACACACAAGACTAATTTAAAACCCATTTAAAATATTATTATTTAGTATAGATTAAACCATCCAATATTATATGTAAGTGACTTAAACAATGAGGGGGTTAACAGAACATTAATTGACAGCAATTTTTCGAATAAGTTAAAAATTATTCACGGTTCGAGCTTCTTAAATGTGAAGAGTACATTTCCCTAATCGTATTTAAATATGTTTACTGAAGTACCATTCTCCACGCAGTACTTTAACATGGAATGTAGTATTTGTACAGCTTGGTATTAGTACTTTTACTCAAGTAAAGAACCTGAATACTGATTCCACCACTGGTGATACATGGAGAGAATCATTGGTCTGATGGAGGCGACACACTCACCTGTGCAGAATGCGCCCTCTCATGGGCAGCAGAGCGTCGTACACCGCCAGAGCGTCGCTCACACAGTCGCTGGGCTCGATGAGGAACGAGGTGACGGTGAGGCGGATCAGAGAGCCGGGCACTGAGGTGAGCTTCACATGGCAGTTCACACCCCCCCATGAGGAGAAGACGTTTAAAGGGACGCTCCCTCCAGGAAGGCTGGCATACAGCTTGTCTACACACTGTGAGCCTGAGGGGAGAAAACACCTTAATGCACTCCTCTAGTTTAACTATGACTGCACCTGAGTTGAGTATCATCACCTACTTGCTCCATTTGATGAGTAATCTGATCGCTGAACGACTGCAGGAAGAAACAATTATTATACACTTTGTTGACACACACTGTTGGGATGTTCATTTAACACACTGGCACACCATTAATGAGGATGGAGTCTAAATCCACCGGGAGGCCCAGCAGGTAGCCTACATTGGACCTGTTCTTCATGCTGGTGTGGACTGAGTCCCTAAAGATGGCTCCCACACACTCCTCACACACTGCAGTGCTCTTTAGTCGAGGGACAACAAACACCATCCAGAAATGCACCAGCACACCGCCCTTGTTGGTGTTACTGGGGTGAGAAAAAACACATTATATATATTGTGGAACTGGAGAGACTACATCCTGAATATCAGCGTGTGCTCATTTTTGCTTCACGCTGATGACGACTAACCTACCTGAGGTCTGAAATGACAGCTTGCTTGTAGAGTCGGGCCACCGAAGACATCTTGTACACATTGCTCACCTACGAGACACCAGCAGTTAACAGTGAGACTCTCTCAGATCTCATGGTCAGCACTAACCATCCTGTAAATAACAGGATTATGTGATGGGCGGATTGTGAGAAAGCAGGCCCCTGGGCACAGAAATGTTTTGGTTTTGCGTCTTTCTGGCATATTTTGGGCCATTAGTAGTAGTTTTGTAGCACTTTGCAGTTTTGTCTGTACTCATTGTGTGTCTCGTTCCAACTGTTTTGCATCTCTTGTGGTTTTTTGTGTGTCTTCAATGTTTCTCTGTGATCATCTTGGGTTTCTTCCTAGCTGGTAGATATGTTAAATTGAGTAGGTAAAGGCAAGAGGTAAAAGTGTCTGTGCCCAATAGGCCCATTCAACAATCCACACATGGTTTACATGGATACATACCACGTGTTGTATTTTGTTAGCCATGGACACAAACTCATTGGACTCTGCCTGGCGGTACTCAGGGATAAACTCAACGTTGGCAACGCGGAACATCCCGGCAAAATACGCTCCACTGTTGCTTTCCCTGCGAACTAAGGACATTTAGTCATTATATGGCAAAGTTTCAATGTGATGTAGTATTATAATTACACAGGGAACATATTGATATATACATTTTTATGGCCGTTAAAGGACCAGTGTGTAGGACTGAGCGGCATCTAGCGGTGAGGTAGATCTCCGGGGAAGAGCCCCCACTCCCTATGTGGATGTAAAGTGCTCATTTGAAGCTTATGAAGGTGAAGTACAGCAATGAAAAAATGGTTATGAATTAAGTTATAATTTCCTACACACTGGCCCTTTGACTGTCCTAGTCCTCTCACTTACAAATGAAGACCCACAGCAGCGACCACATGATCACCACCACCACAAACACCACGGCTGTGATGATGACAGCGAGGTGGGGGATGTTCAGCAGGTGGTCCCACAGCCTCTGGAGACCTTTAGGCTTTCGTCTGGTCTTCCTGTACTTCCTGCAGATCTTCTGCAGAGTGTGGTCCACTGTGGCAACCTCCACGGACACATCTGCGATCTATTGGCGGGGATGAAGACACATAATGCAAAGTGGGTTATTGTAGCAGTATATTTGACTTGCCCTTTTACAGTTGTCACCTCAATCTGTGGGGATTGTAATAGAGGGATGTGGTTAATGATGCTGAAATGATGGGAGAATATCCCGCAAGTGTCTCTTGATACTGTAAATCCCTAAAGTGCTTCAGAGCTTACAGGATACTAAAAGGCAAGAGAGTCTTTTTACAATAAGGGCATGAGGGCACGAGGGCATAACCTTGCAGCTACCATTCATCTCTTATCTCTGTACCTTATCCAGGTCAGGTAGTTTGGATTACAAAAGGCTGAACAAAAGGCTAATCAATACAGAATTCACAGACATGGGAGTTTAAGATCAGAGCATGCACTACAAGAGCATCAATGTTGATAAAGTTAAACAACACATTAGCTGCTAATCTACAGACGGTGAAGTAATGTTGTGTCTACTGGTCATGACGCTGCATCACTCTAGCTTGTGAAGAGCAGTAACTCCATCAGATGCAGCATCAGCTCTCATTAAGTTACCCAAAGCACATATATTATTCATTCAGTGTCATCCCATACTGTGCAAGCGGCAATCCATCAGCAAGGTATAGATTCCCACGGGAAAAAGAGAAATGTTTTAATCTATTTCACACATTTAATCAAGCGGCATGACATAAGATGTGAGCTAAAGGTTTTGATCATATCTCCAGGGTTTTATCTGGAGAAGCCGCTATGTTTTCAATTAAAATTAGACAGGAGGATATGAAATATTGCGGTTTAAGTCAAAGTGCCTCTATAGAAGTTACACCACCGTTAAATATATATCGTACTCACACTGGCAGCTTCCGGCTGAGATGCATCTTCATCTGTGCTTGTCTTTTCGTTCGCCTCGCCCTCTGTGCCCATGACACAGGCATCCCGTCAAGCCTCTATCATCTAATGCCTGACTTCCCGCTCTTTACATCCATTCTCTTCTTCTTTGGAACTTGTAAAAACAGCAGCAGACACAGAAACAGAGAAGAGCAGCACAGTGTTTAGAGGCAGAGTCGACAGGTGCGTGAAACCAGATCCTCCTGCTGGAGGAGAAGCAGGGAGCTCGCTGATAGGAACGTACCTCCTCATATGGCTAATGTTTCATTCATCATTACCTATCCAATTCACATGAAGTCATATTCAACAACCACTAACAACGTCTAGTGTGTTTGCAGGGTATAAGCAGGAATCCTGAAGTCAAATGTAATACCCTTTAAGACCTTTTTTAAGACCCTTTCCATACATTTTAAGACCTCATCGCCACTTTGAGTTCTAACCGGTTACATTGGCGACACACTTTACCTCACATTGACTATATACAGTATTGATTGTCCTTCCTCCTTATCTTCCAACCATTTGGACGCAAACTTGCATTTCCCCATAACGATGTTGTTTAACAACCGGCGTAAACGGACCTTCGCGCGCTATCAAGCTGTGAGCGAGCGATGTCCTGTTCAGATGACGTCCAAGCCAACGGCATGCCATACATAAACTACACAGAATCACACTACACACCTACGCAATGATTACATTCAGGCACACTGTAGAATACAACCTCTTTGGACAATTTATATACTTATTGAAAACAAGCTACAAAATGTAATACCTTGGAAAATGCCGTTTCATACTTTTTAATGGCCTTAATTTTCGCTAAATTGATTTATCAACTTTTAATACTTTAAGACCCCGTGGACACCCTGGGGAGCAAACAGAATTATCTTAAAGTTACATCATTCTTGTTAGGTATGTTTGTACAAGAGTTTTATTTACAGTGTTAACAAGGTAGTGGACTGTGTCAGTTCATTTATCCTCTGGCTGTGCTCAGAGTTGACAGACTCGACGCAAAAAAAAAAGGGTCCAGCCTCTGAAATAACGTACGACAACGTAAAGGCAAAATATACACTTTGTCATAATCAACAAACAATATCTTTCAGTTGGAATTAATAGGACAAAAAGGGTGGGATTCACTCTTTAACACCGGCAAAATGGACTGAGTCGGTATTTTAATACTCTTGTCAATCCCCTTCCAAGTTGTAGGCACTGAACGCCACGATGCAACAAAAACAAACACAAAGAAAGACACAAGAGGCACAAAAAACACAAATTGACATTCACAGAAAAATACAGGAAAAAATAAAGTGTTCTTTGAGTCTTCTGGACGTTGTGATGTCTGCACATGCACAGGGAGGAACAAATAGGGAGCAAAGTCTCATTTCTTGAAAAAGGTGTTGCGGGTGATATTGTACAACAGATGGTAAGGCTTTCGTTTCGGGGGCTCGGCCAATGAGAAGACCTGCTGCTGAGGCACGCTGGTGGGTATGGTGATGTGACGCTGGTGGAGCGGGTGCAGGTTCGGGTGGTGTGTGGGGACGGAGCCAGAGTAACCAATGGCTGAAAAAAGGTAAACAAGTGAAGCAACAAAACATTAGCAATTCAACTTTAAGTGAATATAAAAAACATGAGACATTTAAATGATGCAAGGCTTTACTTTTGCTCTTCTTCTGTTTGGCTCTTCTGGCATTAACAATGGCCTGTTTTCTTTGCTCTTCACTGATCTCCATTCCTGCAAAGAAACAGACACACAATAATGCCAACATATTTCCAAACACCCCCCTTCAACCAACAATCTGTTCCCTTTTTATTTGACATTACACCCACAGTGGCCCTTTTGCGTCCTGAATGAAAGGAATTCCTCAGCACTCACCCATCTCCTGGTCCTCCTTCACTCTGTATCGCTCCTTGGCAAAGGCCTGTAACCACCTCTGCTTGTCCTCGGCCTTCCTGCAGCACAGCACGCACACAAACTCCAGGGTGTTGGCGTTGCGCAGGCGCAGAGCGTTCTTCAGGGTCAGGCCCAGGTCCAGGTCCCTCCCGTCGGCCATGTCCAACACCTCGGTCTGGTCCATATCCAGCTGCCCCCGGTAGTGGAGCAGGTCTCTGCGCAGGACGTCTTTCTTACAGAACACCAGCTGGTGGTCGAACAGGAAGAAGCTGCGCTGCTGCATTTTGCCCTGTCGGACGCCTCGAGTCAGCTCACCAGAGTGGATCAGCTCTGAGCTGCGTTCAAGCACATCAGGCCCCTGCAGCGACACGTTTACAAGTCAAAAGATATATACAATGTGTAAAACAGGGTTTAAGTGAAAGGTATAAACCCCTTGAGATGAACCATCTTGTTTTCAAGGGGGTCCTAACATATATAACAAACAGCAAGACAGTACAAATAAATCAAAAACTGAAAAAACTAAATGAGAAAACCATGAGGCCATGAACAAATACATTTGCCCAGCAATAAAATAAAATAAACATAGTGTTTTGTGCGTGACACATCATCAATAGCATGTACAATTAACAGCAAAATAAGAAACATGACTGAAAAAGGGCAAAATGTACTGCTACAATAACCCACTTATATTATTCCAGTCTGAAGGAGCTTTGAACATAAATGAGGGTAAAAAGAGTTGACAGAACATATAGGCTAGTTTGACCCTCACCTCCCAGTTTTGAATGGCCACCTGCCAGTGAGCGATGGTGTCCACACTCTCCAGCCGTCTCTTCCTCTCATTGATCAGACTCGCCACGTTCTTCATAGCCTCGTACGCTTTGCTCACTCCGCTGAAGTCACTGCAATACATCAGAGGCACAATAGGCATAAGGTCCACTTTACACACACATGAGACATCTCCATTCAAACTAACACACTGCATCAATCTCAATCAGGACAACCATTGTCAATTATTTATTTAAAAATGTGGACAAATGATGGGTGATGCTTTGCTATACACATACTGCACATAGCATGTATTAGCAGACTAAACAATGACATTGTGAGTACCTGTGGTCTTTGGGGGTGTACTTCAGCAGTTCTCCCAGCTGCAGGGGGTATTTACAGATCTTCTGGACGGGCGTGAGCAGGAACCCTGCGATGGAAATGTCTATCATCTGCTGGAGGAGCCGACAGGCCTCAAAGAAATGTTTGTATTTTCCCGACTTCATGAGGCGGTGCAGCTCAGCACTGGCTGCTGGGTGAGTGTTACAGTAGTCCGAGTAGATAGAGAAGCCCTCGTCCTAAGGACAAAAGATAAACAATGAATAAAGATTAAGTTCAGGAATATAAACTAGTGATTAAGTAAACTAGGGAAGGTTTTGTACCTGCAAGAGAAAGCAAGAGCCTATTTCACTGAGATGCGGTTGGTCTTTGTTGTATTTCTTCTCCAGGTCTTTGAGAAACTGCCTCTGAAACCGGTAGATGTCTTCTATGTTGCTGAAGATGGTCTTCAACTGCAGCTCAGTGAACATGTCTGGGTGTTTACGGCACTGACGGATGTAACCCTGGAGAAAAAAAAGCATGTTTACTTCACTGACAGAGGGAATAAAAAAAAGTTCAAACACTGGTCAACAGGAGGTGCTAACCTGTAAAGTCAGTCCTGAAATACAAATCTATCTTATTGTATATTACTACAGAAAAGGTGACATTTGTTCAAATGAATGACTGCTAAAGAGCACAAAATCGTGTATTGATAACATAAAAAGAATAAGTATTAGAGCTGGAGCAGCCCTAGATGTAAAATATGGAAACCTGTACCTCACAGATGTCTTTCAGGTGCTTGATGTAGATGCGTTCTGTGTTCATGATTTCCTGAACCACATTGGTTCTCATCTGCTCTTTGTGCTGAGCGCTGTGTGTGTCTCTGGGAGTTGGATCTTCTTGGTCCGCTACGCTCTCCACACTTTCTGCACTCGAGTCCTCCTGGTTCACTCGCACCTGAAACACATCCACCACACACAATGAGCAGCTTTCAAATCACAATGAAGTCCTCAGAGCCAACTTCAACACCACACATGTCAAACAAATATATATATAATCTTGTGTTGAATTATGTTAACTAAAGATTGCAGTTAAGAAAAATAATCATTACAAAAGAGAAAAAAACTACTTTCATACAAAAAACCTCTACGTCACTATGGTAACAATGTGTGCAAGATTAACCAGCTCTTGTTCAGCCAATTTGATTCAGCTACAAGCAATTACACAGCAGACGGCCATCTCCCAATCAAATAACCTCACCTTGGTAACCACAGCCTGCCTAATTAAGACTCAACTGTCAATCAGTGCTGGTCGCCACAGAAACCAGCTGAACCTCTGAGGTTTGAACCCCAACGCACACACTGTTGTTTGAGGTTTGTTTGGAGCTCAGCCAGTTTGCTAAGTCTTTTCTGTGCTTCTGGAGAGCAAACATGCGTTGGACACACGGGTCAGGAAGTCCACTTACCCTCACAAAGCTGGAGGGGAACCAGGCCTCCCTGTCGGCCCCCCTGCCCCACCACCAGTCCTTATGCGAGGCATCCAGGACACGGATAACATCTCCAGCCTTAAAGGCCAGCTCCTGCTCCTCCATGGTCACATGGTCCCAGAGAGCCTCAGCATACACCGTGTGGCCAGAGCTTATCCACTGTAGCACACACACACACACAGATAAGATAAATACACAATTACATGCAGGCTAGGCCCTTGTCTAACATGGAGGATTATGTCTAGACTTGGACACTGCAGCCAAACATCTTGAAAACATTTTTCATAAGGCTCTTCACGCATACAACAGGATAAATATGGCAGAATATTTTTGATGAGTGTTGCAACATGACAAGTTGTCCTCATCAACCTCACCTCGTTGAGAACGGAGAGCTCCACCCCTGGCTGGAGGTAGGGCGTGAAATCATTGAGCTCATCATAGCTGCCTTCCTCCTCCTCACTCACGCTGTCATCGAGCGTCGCAGAACTCTCAGTCACACCAACTGCAACACACACACAGGTTTAATTAAAAACAAACCTCATGGAGCTGAAAACATTCCGATTTAAATAGTTTAGAAAACAAGCCACAGATGCACCCCCACACCAATGTCTTCCTCCAGCACACTTATTGACATTCCCCGCCCCAGCTTTCCCACAGACTGAAATGTGTGATCAACAACAAAAACAGCTCTCACCGCTGAGCATTCTGTGGAGCTTACGCCGTCCAACGCGGTCCAGTCCGATGGGGGTGCTCTGGGAGAGGGTGGAGGGGCGAAACCTTGCAGACACCGCTTTGTAGGGGGGCACCTGGTGGGAGGGGATGGGCGGCCGCGACCG